CGGCAGCTACCCCGCTAAAGGCATATTCATATAAATATTAAATTTTATATTAAGTTATTCAAATTAAATTCAAAGTGCATGGTAAGGCGAATTAATCTAGCCTACCAGCACTTAGCATGACCCAGGGTTCGCGACGTGGACGCGGCTGGTATGAACCCCACAACGCCCCAATAATATAAACGGTGTTTCTTTTTTTTTCCTTGGTTCCTATTTATGAATTTAAACATCTCTGAGTCATCTCATAATAAAATGGATACTCACATAGTTAAACGGGTGTCCCCAAACGGCAGCTTTCCCGCTAAAGGCATGTTCATATAAATATTAAATTTTATATTAAGCTATTCAAATTAAATTCGAAGTGCATGGTAAGGTGAATTAATCTAGCCTACCAGCACTTAGCATGACCCAGGGTTCGCGACAGGAACGCGGCTGGTATGAACCCCACAACGCCTCAATAATATAAACGGTGTTTCTTTTTTTTTCCTGGGTTGCAATTAATGAATTTCAACTTCTTTGAGACATCTCATATTATATGATGGACGCTCACATAGTTAAGCCGGTGTCCCCAAACGGCACCTTTCCCTCTAAAGGCATGTTATAAATATTAAATTTTATATTAAGCTTTTCAAATTAAATTCAAAGTGCATGGTAAGGCGAATTAATCTAGCCTACCAGCACTTAGCATGACCCAGGGTTCGCGACAGGAACGCGGCTGGTATGAACCCCACAACGCCCCAATAATATAACCGGTTTTTTTTTTGTTCACAACTAGAGAAGATGGACAACGGAGAACGGTTTCTTGTTTTTTTTTGTTCAAAGATGAGAACGTTTTTGAAATGTTCAATGGAAAATATTGTATAGAAAAAGTCAATAGAATTTCCTCGGCTCACATTTCCAAGTTTTTTCATTTGATTTTCCTGATCAATAGAAGCGAGAAATAGAATGAAAATCAGGCTGAGTTGAAAATAGAATGCCTTACCTTATTTTGTTTTATTCTTCACAGAACAGAAGGCTTTTACCGAGTGCCTCTAGTGTTTTTCTATACACAATAACTAAGCAGGGAGCAGCGAGCATATGGTAGTGACCATATCACTGAGTGATGTTTTAATGCTTTCGGAGCTATCAAGAAATTGATGATATGCTTCCCAACGGTTTCAGCATGATAAACTTTTTTCACTCTCAGAGAGTTCTCCCCATTTATTCAATTTATGCCTTTCTCCACCCCCCCCCCTCCCATTACATTTTAAAAAGTGTTATGCTTTTTCGCTCGGGTATATATGACATGTACGCCGTATTGAAGAGACTGAAACTGTATTCTATTCAGTAAATGAATGAAGAAAATTGATAATTTAATATTGAATCGAGTATAGTAAATCAAATATTATCTGTTTCACAGCAGATGACGAACATAGTGAAATGGTTCAGTCATTTAGCTGGAAGACCGATGGGTCCCTCGTAGCCACCTCGAGCAAGGACAGGCGCGTCCGTATTTTTGACCTACGAGGGCCGCAACCAGTTATGAATTCCTGTTCAAGCCAGTAAAATAGTAAAGACTCCCGCATCGTCTGGCTGGGTAGTACCAACAGTATCCTCACAACTGGCTTCAACAACGAGAGCATGCGTCAGATATACGTGAGGGATGTGAGACACTTCGCCAATCTCATCAACAGCTTCGAGCTAGAGGCGAGCCCTGGGGTTCTGATACCGTTATTTGACCCAGATACAAACATGTTGTTTCTTTCTAGCAAGGGAGATGTGACCGTTCGCTGCATGGTAGTAACCGAAACAGATCCCTTTTTGATCGAGGGCATACGCCACACAGGAAAACAGACGATAGTGTCTCCCTGGTCCCGAAACTCGCACTTGATGTGATGCACGGTGAGGTCAATCCAGTTTTACAATTGACCTCAAATATGGTGATCCCTATCACCATATTTGAAAATAATCATTTTCTAATTGAACATTCGTCGATTTTATTTCTCTTAAATTATTCAAGAGGGAGATTTTTTATGCCGTTATTTGACCCTGATACAAATACGTTGTTTCTTGCTGGCAAGGGAGATGTGACCGTTCGCTGCATGGTAGTAACCGACACAGATCCGCTTTCGATCGAGGGAAAACCCCATACAGGAAAACAGTCGATAGACATCTCCCTTGTTCCGAAACTCGCACTTGCTATGATGCAGGGTGAGGTCAATCGTGTTTTACAATTGACCTCAAATATGGTAACCCGTATCACCTACCAAGTGCCGAGAAAGGTATGAAATAATCATCTTCTAATTGAACATTCATCGATTTTATTTCTCTTAAATTATTCAAGACGGAGATTTCTGATCGTCAACAACTTTTTCATTTTTTTTATCGTCATTTTACATCGCTTCAACCCGATTAGCTAATACTGCGATGATGATCAAGACTTTAAATGGTTAGATCAGACCATTCTACCCGGCCGGGATTTGAACTCGGAACCTTTCACATGTGAGGCAACGAACTTATCCACTGCTCCAAGCCACCGGACAACTCTTTTTCATTATCAATTCATTTTCTCAGACTTCCGTATGAAAATTTAGCCAGAAAATACCGGTTATTTAAGACGATTCGTTTCAACTTACTCTCTTTTGAATCAATTTGACGTAATTTCAAAGTTTGAGTTGTTTGTTTGAACAATGCCCCTCATTATTCAATAGATTCTTACATTAATTCCTTCATTCTCCCATTGCAGACGTATCAACGTTTCCAGTCGGACATTTCCCCCCCCCCTCGGGTCGTATAGCGGACAACACAGCTGAAAAATGGATCCAAGGAAACCCCCTGCCCCTGTCCCAAAGATCTCTTTGGATCCTTCTAAACGCACTGGAGGAATGGAGAGAACAGAGGTAAGTATCAATTGGATCTCGCCATCACTACAATTTCTCATATTTATTAGATATATTCACTGCAGTTTCTACTATTATCCAATGTATTATTCCTGCAGAAAATATATCAAATTGTGTTGATTTTGTATATGGCAGAATCTCTATTGGACATTTACTATATAAAAACAAAACGCGCAGTAGAGCTTTGGAATTATAAATTATAATGTTTGATAGAAGCCGAGTAGAAATCCAATGAAATGCAATCGAACTCGCAAAAGTTTTTCAATGAAATTTTTTCAACATCATTTTATTCGTTTGAAAATGAATAGGAGCATGTCCTTCCCTGCAAAATGCCGACTGCGTCGACTAGTGGAGTGCAACAAACTAAGAGCAGCTTCACTAGTGACGATATTAAACACCTTGTTGAGGCCATCAAGGCTGTTGAGGCGAACATCAGCAAAACTGTTGAGGCTAGTGTTAACACAGTTATTGAGGCTAACCTCAGCAAAATTGTTGAGGCTAGTGTCAATAGAGCTGTGGAAGTTAGCGTCAACAGGGCTATGGAGACTAGTGTCAAGGCGCTTGAGGCTAGCGTCAATAGGACTTTTGAGGCTAGCGTCAACAGAGCTGTTGAGGCTAACTGGCAAAGAATCAGGGAGATCCAAGAAGGACCTGATCGAGAGGCAGTACCACAGCCTGACCACGTACGTAGGGATTCGGACGTGGAGGACGATGAGGAGGATCGGGTAGATGACGATTGGGGGTTCCCCAGGAGAGTTGTTGCGAGCATCTTGAAAGCAACAACGGTAAAAAAACGATGCAAAATGGCGGTGAGGGGGATGTGGACGCCGGCAGAACGCCTTCAAAGGTACATCCGGTTCCATAGGAATGTACCCGAGGGCAGTGTGCGAGTGCAACCGGAGGAGCTGGAGTAGATCAGAGGTGAGTATTCAAAAATCAGCTAAACCAATTTTTAGTAGAATATTTCAGAGAGTCAGTCAGTATTCCAATAATGTTCTTTAGCGGACAATAGGTATCCCCTTGGCCAGTAAGTCGGTTCTTGAATCACGGTCACAATATTTCGAAGTCCCCACCATTCGACCCTCGTTTGAAGAAATACAGTACAGTTCATTTAACAATGAAATGGATAACTCTAGGATGAACTTTTTTTTTCTTTTGCCTGGGTTGCTATTAATGAGTTTAAACCTCTTTGAGACATCTCATATTATATGATGGATGCTCACATAGATCTACGGGTGTCCCCAAATGGCACCTTTCCCTCTGAAGGCATGTCAATTTAAATATTAAATTTGTTGAGGCAATAAAATTAAATTCACGCGTGCATGGTAAGTCATAATTATCAAGCCCTACCAGCACTTAGCATGACCCAGGGTCCGTGACGGGGACGCGGCTGGTATGAACCCCACAACGCCCCAATAATATAACCGTTTTTGTTTTCCTGGATTGCTATTGATGAATTTAAACATCTCTGAGTCATCTCATATAATAAAATGGATGCTCACATGGTTAAACGGGTGTCCCCAAACGGCACCTTTCCCTCTGAACGCATGTTGATATAAATATTAAATTTTATATTAAGTCATTCAAAATAAATTCAAAGTGCATGGTAAGGCGAATTAATCTAGCCTACCAGCACTTAGCATGACCCAGGGTTCGCGACGTAGACGCGGCTGGTATGAACCCCGCAACGCCCCAATAATATAACCAGTTTTTTTTTGTTCACAACTAGGCAAGATGGACAACGGAGAACGGTTTTTTTTGTTCAAAGATGAGAACGTTTTTGAAATGTTCAATGGAAAATATTGTATAGAAAAAGTCAAGAGAATCTCCCCCCCCCTCCCATTGCATTTTAAAAATTGTTATGCTTTTTCGCTCGGGTATATATGACATGTGCGCCGTCCTGAAGGGACTGAAACTGTATTCTATTCAGTAAATAAATGAAGAAAATTGATAATTTAAGATTGAATCGAGTATGGTGAATCAAATATTATCTGTTTTATAGCAAATGGCGAACATAGTGAAATGGTTCAGTCATTTAGCTGGAAGACCGATGGGTCCCTCGTAGCCACCTCGAGCAAGGACAGGCGCGTCCGTATTTTTGACCTACTAGGGCCGCAACCAGTTATGAATTCCTGTTCAAGCCATCAAAATAGTAAAGAATCCCGCATTGTCTGGCTGTGTAGTACCAGCAGTATCCTCACGACTGGCTTCAACAACGAGAGCATGCGTCAGATATACGTGAGGGATGTGAGACACTTCGCCAATCCCATCAACAGCTTCGAGCTAGAGGCGAGCCCTGGGGTTCTGATACCGTTATTTGACCCAGATACAAACATGTTGTTTCTTGCTGGCAAGGAAGATGTGACCGTTCGCTGCATAGTAGTAACCGAAACAGATCCCTTTTCGATCGAGGGCGTACGCCACACAGGGAAACAGACGATAGGTGTCTCCCTGGTCCCGAAACTCGCACTTGATGTGATGCACGGTGAGGTCAATCGAGTTTTACAATTGACCTCAAATATGGTGATCTCTATCACCGACCAAGTGCCGAGAAAGGTATGAAATAATCATCTTCTAATTGAACATTCATCGATTTTATTTCTCTTAAATTATTCAGGAGGGAGATTTCTGATGCCTTTATTTGACCCAGATACAAATATGTTGTTCCTTGCTGGTAAGGGAGATGTGACCGTTCGCTGCATGGTAGTAACCGACACAGATCCGTTTTTGATCGAGGGAAACCCCACACAGGAAAACAGTCGATAGACATCTCCCTTGTTCCGAAACGCGCACTTGATGTGATGCGGGGTGTGAGGTCAATCGTGTTTTATCATTTACCTCAAATATGGTGATCCCTATCACCTACCAAGTGCCGAGAAAGGTATGAAATAATCATTTTCTAATTGAACATTCATTGATTTTATTTCTCTTAAATTATTCAAGAGGGAGATTTCTGATCGTCATTAACTCTTTCATTTTTTTTATCGTTATTTTACATCGCTTCGACCCGATTGGATAATACTGCGATGATGATCAAGACTTTAAATGGTTAGATCGCACCATTCTACCCGGCCGGGATTTGAACTCGGAACCTTTCTCATGTGAGGCAACGAACTTATCCACTGCGCCAAGTCACCGGACAACTCTTTTTCGTTATCAATTCATTTTCTCAGACTTCCGTATGAAAATTTAGCCAGAAAATACCGGTTATTTAAGACGATTCGTTTCAACTTACTCTCTTTTGAATCAATTTGACGTATTTTCAAAGTTTGAGTTGTTTGTTTGAACAATGCCCCTCATTATTCAATGGATTCTTACATTAATTCCCTTCATTCTCCCATTGCAGAAGTATCAACGTTTCCATTCGGACATTTTCCTCCCCGCCCGGGTCGTATAGCGGACAACACAGCAGAAAAATGGATCCAAGGAAACCTCCTGCCGCTGCCCCTGTCCCAAAGATCTCTTTGGATCCTTCTAAACGCGCAGGAGGAATGGAGAGAACAGAGGTAAGTTTCAATTGGATCCCGCCATCGCTACAACTTCTCATATTTATTAGATATATTCACTGCAGTTTCTACTATTATCTAATGTATTATTCCTGTAGAAAATGTATCAAATTCTGTTGATTTTGTATATGGCATAATCTCTATTGGACCTACTATATAAAAACAAAACGCGCAGAGTAGTCATATAATGCCGATTCTGGCACAACGTTTTNATTAATTAATTCGCGTTTTTTCCCTCGAAGGGACAAGTTTCCTCGAAGGGTTAATTAATTCGCGGTTTATTCACGGTTTGATTAATAAATTCGCGATTTTTCACTCGAAGTGATGGAAGGGTTAATCAATTCGCGGTTTGATTCGCGGGGTCGCGGTTTAATTCGCGGTTTGATTCAATAATTCGCGATTTTTCCCCTCGAAGTGATGAAAGGGTTAATTAATTCACGGTTTAATTCGCGGTTTGATTAATTAATTCGCGATTTTTTCCCTCGAAGTGATGAAAGGGTTAATTAATTCACGGTTTAATTCGCGGTTTGATTAATTAATTCGCGATTTTTTCCCTCGAAGTGATGAAAGGGTTAATTAATTCACGGTTTAATTCGCGGTTTGATTAATTAATTCGCGATTTTTTCCCTCGAAGTGATGAAAGGGTTAATTAATTCACGGTTTAATTCGCGGTTTGATTAATTAATTCGCGATTTTTTCCCTCGAAGTGATGAAAGGGTTAATTAATTCGCGTGGTCGCGGTTTAATTGGCGGTTTGATTAATTAATTTCCGATTTTTTCCCTCAAAGTGATGAAGGGGTTATTTAATTCGCTGGTTAATTAATTTAATTCGCGGTTTTGCGTTACAAAGGACCTTCTCGGTGGAACTAGTCAATCCACCCCGCGAGGGGGTGAGTGAAGGGGTTAATTATTTCG